ATTTGCATTTCATTATGAGGAAGACTTAGGTTTCTTTTCCTTTATACTACTTCTGACTGTTTTTTAATTCGATTCCTTCAACTCAATTTTTGATTTATGAAAGCTAGCTTTGAGACGTCCTTCAATTCCTATTCCTTAAGTTTATTACAGGCCTAGAAACTTGTCCAAAATCTCAAGTCTCAAGACAATGCCCTTTGGGTCACTTTTCCTCCTTTTTTTGTTTTATGTACTATAAATTTTGGTCACAGGAAGGTCACCTACATTTTTTTAGACATACGCTCATTTCTCTATAAGCACTGTCAAAATCACTTTTCATTTTTTTCTTTTTTGGCTTTTAAAATTTTTATTCATCAACTCATTGAGGTCATATCTCACATTAAGTAGTAAATAAAGCATTTCCCCTCACTTCCTCTATCTATCCCTTCCTGGTAGGGAGCAATCTTTCAAGTGGGTTGACTTCTTGTATTTCAACATAAGGAAACAGATCTTTCATAAAAATTAAGCACAGGTTTAACTACAAGGATGTTTATCCCAGCATCGTTGGCATTTGAAATAATCTTGATATATTTCCCCAAATCAAAGGGAGCGGCTAAACAAATCCGTTCACCCATATGATGAAATATTCAGCAATCATTAATGTGATGGCATAGACCACAGTTTTCAAAATGTGCTCCTCAAACCAATGGCATCGGCATCAACTTGTTGGAAATGCGAATTCTTGCACCCCCATTCCCCCTACTCCCTATCCCCACCCCTTCCCCCCTATAGCTGCTAAAGTCGAGAGTGGGTGGGTGGAGACCAACAGCCTGCATGTATGCAGCTTTTCTAGTGATTCTGATGCATGTGCGTATTTGGGAACCGCGGGATTAGGCAAACATTTATTGGTGTGAAGAGAAGTCCACAATATAATGAGTCAAATAAAATCTTTTGCAGATTCCAAAAGAGCATATTCAATGTAATCTTAGTTTCAGAATATTCATAGATACATCCATATACGTGTGTGTGTGTGTGTGTGTGTGTGTGTATAAATTTGTGTGTGTGTATATATATATATGAATGCATGGAAACAGATCTGTAAAGATATACACTAAAATGTGGGGGTTCCTAAGTGGCTCAGTCAGTTAAGCATCTGACTCTTGATTTTGGCTCAGGTCATGATCTCACGGTGGTGAGATTGAGCCCTGAGTTGGGCTCCTCACTGAGCCTGGAGTCTGCTTGAGATTCTCTCTCTTTTCCTCTGCTCCATTCTCCAGTGTGTGCTCGCACTCTCTCTCTCTCTCTCGCAAAAAAAAAAAAAAAAAAAAAAAAAAATTAAATTAAATGTTGGCAGTGGTTATCACTGGGTGGGGAGGTTACAAATGATTTCATTTTAAAAACTACTTCATTTGCAGTTTCAAACGTTTCTTCAGCAAACACATATTACTTACGTCATTTTAAGAAAGAATAAAATAAACGATTCTCCATTTGGAAAGATTTGGCAGAAAGAAGGACCCATCTGTGCCCCTGAGTCTCAGTCTCCAGTTGGGGGATCGCCTCATCTACCAATAAACCACCCTTTTCCTTCTAAATCTCTCAAGCAGACAGAAACAAAATTGCTTTTCTTGATCTCCTTAGAATGGGTGGAATTTTCAAAAACACCTTGCCAAGGGTTGCTTACTAAAAGATAACCAAAGGGGAATGAGCCAGAAAATAGAAATCAACATTTCAGAAGAGGGGGTCAGGGCCTAGCACAGCTATCCACTCCTGTTTCCATTTCATAATTTGGCATGAGATGTTTCTATATCTTGACTATCGAGGCCAGCTCACTCCCCCAACACCTGTTCATCTGGGTTGCTCCTGAGGCCACAAACCTGGCTTCACCTCCAAGGTTGCATTCCTTCCCAAGCTGCTGCTTGACTCTCGTCAGACATCATAGGTGAACTCGTTCGTCATGCACGACTCTGACTTTTAAGGAGTTTGAGCCTGGTAGACTCTCTATGCTTAAACATTTTTTTTAAATGTTTATTTTTCAGTGAGAGAGAGAGAGAGAGAGAGGGAGCACAAGCTTGAGCAGGGAGGGGCAGAGCAAGAGGGGAACAGAGGATCTGAAGTGGGCTCTGTGCTTAGAGCAGACAGCCTGATGTGGGGCTTGAACTCATGAACCATGAGCTCATGACCTGAGCTGAAGTAGGACGCTTAACCGACTGAGCCACCCAGACACACCTCTATTTCTTTTTTTAAGTTTATTTATTTATTTTGAGGAGGGGGGGAGCATGAGCAGGGGAGGGGCAGAGAGGGAGAGAGAGAGAATCACAAGCAGGTTCCGTACCATCAACATAGAGTCTGAATGTGGGGCTCGAACCCATGAACCACGAGATCATGACCTGAGCTGAAACCAAGAGTTGGTCGCTTAACCGACCACCCAGGTGCCCCTACGGCTTCCGTTTCTATACGAACGACACATTTAATTTCGTTAATTCTGTTAATGAATTTTTAAAATTTTTTTTTTCAATGTTTATTTATTTTTGGGACAGAGAGAGACAGAGCATGAACGGGGGAGGGGCAGAGAGAGAGGGAGACACAGAATCGGAAACAGGCTCCAGGCTCCGAGCCATCAGCCCAGAGCCTGACGCGGGGCTCGAACTCACGGACCGCGAGATCGTGACCTGGCTGAAGTCGGACGCTTAACCGACTGCGCCACCCAGGCGCCCCTGTTAATGAATTTTTAAATTCTGTGACTAGCCCAACCTATTGATTTTTTGGGTTCTTCAGAGTTCAACAGCTCTTCCATGAGGGGCATGCTTTCTTCCAGAGTTTTTCTTCCTCCCTCCCTTCCCTCTCAATTGGTTCTCAATTCCTAGGTTCTTATGCCACTGCCAATAACTGAGAGTGAGGAGGAAGTCACCTTGCTTCTGGGTCTCTCTCTCCCAGTCCTCTGCTGGCCTTCAGCTCCGGATGTTTCCCTGACGTTTCTGGTGATACCCAGGGTGTTCTAAGTGACGGCAGATGTTTAGGTGTGGATCGTGACATTGGGATCCATGGAGGTGTCACCATGTTTCAGTGGCTATAATTTGTTTTGAAACACTTCTATGCTGCATCCATTTTTCAGATTAAGCCAAAACCTAGGGGGAAGTCTAGAATGCGTTGTCAAGGGGTGATCAGCTGGGATTAAACTACTTCATCAAAACAGCACTTTGCTAATTAGCATAAGGGATGTCAGAAGGGGACTTTATTTGGAGAAACCCGTAATTTAGTTTGTTAATAAACTGAATTACTTAGCACGATGATTCTTAGAAATGAGGTCTCATTGGCGATGTTAAATGGATTCAAAATATCCAGGCTGACCAAACATACCTTAAAGAGATGCCTCGTATATGTCCAGGGGGGTAAAAATTTAAGGAGACCTAAAATTTCTCTTGAAATGGTCAAGCTTGCTTAGCCATTGGTGTCGCAGGATTTTAGAATCTAGAATCTCGTTGAGCTAACAGGAGAGTATTAACTCCTTGATGACCACAAACGAACACGTAATAAACAACAGATTCTAAACGTATAGTTAAACCTTCCTTCCTCAAACTTCTTTAGCGGCTACTATTTTTTAGCGAAGACAGCCTAACAGTTGGATATGATGTTCCAACTGGAGAGTTCGCAGTAAGACTGTCCTTCCCCGATTCCCAGTGAGGACAGGGTAGCCTTCACTCTTTGGATGTGACCTTCATCTTGGTCTAGGATCCCCGGTGAGGTCTTCTGACTGACTCTCTTTCAGGCATCCCTCGAAGACCGTTATAATTTCCCCCCGTGCTACTCCTGAACCTCAGGAACTTGGCAGGAGGGGAGCTTCCTGTATCTTCTGTGAGACAAAAAAAAGTGAATGTGGAAAATTGTATCAGCCGGCATCACATATCCTCCCTGACACCTTTAACACCTAAACCAAAATTAAACACAACAGTAAGGGGAGAAGTTCCCTCGATCAAATCCCCCCGTTGTTAAGTAGATGTATTTCTATGGAGGTATTACGGATGTTTTGGGGTTAGAAGTTTTTTTTCTTTTGCTCAACTCTGTCTGGCAAGACATTCAGGATTCCTGGCCCTCTTAAAGCCAGTAGTGACAAGCAAACAAATATCCCACATTTCTAAATGCCTCTAAAGGGAAAGTACTGGGTTGGTTGAGAACATGTCTTCCAAGCTACATCAATGTCTCCAGGAAGGATGCACAATGCTTTGAGGGCTGGGGAGGGAGGCAAGTGGTCAAGGGGCCCGGAGCCCCACCGGCTGCCTCAGAATGTGCCCCTGGCAAAGTCAGTTTCCCCAGGGCAGGGGGCAGTGATATCTAGAGTGCTATCTGTCATAAGTGAAAGCATTTCCAGCAACCTTGGACCATCAGTTCATCTTTCCCCTGTTTTCTCTGGCTATTTCTTTGAAGATGTCTGAAGGGGCTATGGCACCTGGGTTTAAAAATCCAGCGTGATATTCTACCTGTGTTTCTTTGCTGTAGGTCTAGAACCATCAGTTGCACACCTTTCGTTAGATATCATGGATCAAAACGGTTCACCAAAACTTAAGTGGCGAAAAGAGGCACCAAACCTGCTTGGGATTCTCTCTCTCCCTCTCGCTCTCTGCCCCTCCCCCACTCACACACGTGCGTATGTGCTCGTTCTCTCTCTGGCAAAATACGAATTAACTGAAAAAATAACGTTGCTACAGATTTGTTTCCTACGTGTGTGTACGTTGGTTTTTGAAATATCTGGAAGTAGATATCAATTTTTGAAATATTTGGCTTCAATCATATATAATAAACAAACCAAATATCAAGGCTGTGTGGTCAGCACTATGTGTATACTTTCCCTTTAAAATTAAAAAAAAAACCCCATTTGTATTGTTATTATTTTTAATTCCAGCAGAGTTAACATATAGTATGTGTAAATTTCAGAAAAGGACGGAGGGTTGGGGAAAGCGTCTCTGGGCGACTAGGACCGGAGACCGGAACACAAGGGAGGGGCCAACGGGGTGAAAGCGGTTTCGTGGCGCAGGCGCAGAGACCGGTCACTAACTGGAGTTGCTCATTTCCAGGAAGGACGGAGATGCTCCAGGTAGGAACAGCTATGTCAGGATTTCAGTGAGTCCCCGCAGTCCATCCAGATCTGCGGGCAGAGGCGTCTCCTCATTCCTGGATGTGCAAAGCCCAGCGCTCACGTTGGATCAGGGCGGAAGGCACCACGGCGCTGTTGGGGCATCTCGAGGGGTGACGATTTGGGGAGCAGGACTAGAAAAGCTAAAGGAGGCGCCCCGTTGAAGGCGCGAACATTGGTGCGGCATCTCCCGATGTGGCTGCTTGGCGACGGAAGTTAATAAAGGGGTGGCACAAACAAATCCAGCCTGGTTACCGAGCAAGCGGAAAGGGCCTCCCGAAATAGCTGGGGAAACTTCCAGATGTGTGTGCTGCAATCCCGCCGCTCGGCGGATGGGGCCCGCCCGGCCAGCGAAATCGGTGAGCATGATCAGTGTTAATGCAACTGAGGACGTTAGAGTTTGTGTTTCCTTACGCCTTTGAGCCAACGTATTTAGTAACTGCCAGGGTCCCTGTAGGATTTTCATGGGCCCTCAGCACTTTTGCCTTCCTGGGCTCCTTCCTCCATAAATAAATAAATAAATAAATAAATAAATAATTTATAAAATTTAATATATAAACACACTTATATTAATATATTGCATATTTTTAATATATATAAATCACATTTTACAACTTCATTAGTATAAAGATGAATATAATCTAGGCTGGGTTCATTACAATATGCTCATTTTTTTCTTCTGATTTTGAAAGAAATAAAATTAAGCAATTTTTGTGGGTTTCTAAAAGTATCATGGGCCCCAGGCACTTTGCCCATTGTGACTAATGGATGTGTCGTCCTCTGTTTTTTTCCAGCAGTTTCTGTCTTCTTCCCTCACTCCTGGCCCCTCCTGACCACTTCAATGGTTTCTATCCAAATCGGCCTTTTCGCTAAGTCTGGAACCTTGCCTGTAAGGTGAAACTACGTTTCATCACTTGGCGGAGAGTTCAATTAAAAAAAAAAAAAAGGATCAATAAATTGTCACATTGTTTTCTAAAATGGATTTGCTGGGGCGCCTGGGTGGCGCAGTCGGTTAAGCGTCCGACTTCAGCCAGGTCACGATCTCGCGGTCCATGATTTCGAGCCCCGCGTCGGGCTGGGCTGATGACTCAGAGCCTGGAGCCTGCTTCCGATTCTGTGTCTCCCTCTCTCTCTGCCCCTCTCCCGTTCATGCTCTGTCTCTCTCTGTCCCAAAAATAAATAAACGTTGAAAAAAAATTTTTAAATGGATTTGCTACTTTGAAAAAATATATATACCAACTCTACACTCAAAACAACTTTTCTTAAGAGCCAGAAGTTATGGTTTTCTACGAGTACGTACACACCAAGCCCAAGAACTTTTCCTTCGGTTTCCTGAATCCCAAACCCAGGTTGTCTGTGTGGGATCCAAATCAGGGAGCACAGTGCTGTGGGCTGTACGATTCAGAAAATACCACAGTCCAGTGAGTCAACCCAGCCTTCCCGCCAGCCCACCCTTGAGCGACTAGTTAGTTCCTTCTTGATGGTAGATGCTGCCAGAATGTTGGCTTTCAGGTTAAAACAAAGCAAAATAAAAACCCACTATGTTTTCAGAAAAGAACTTTTCTCTTAGACTCCCTTATCTGTCCTCTGCTCTCTCCATGTGTTCACAATACACCAGAAAAAGGTGAGTGGGGAGGGCTGATTTCTTCAGGGGACGGGAAATTTTTAAATTTTTTTTTCAACGTTTATTTATTTTTTGGGGGACAGAGAGAGACAGAGCATGAACAGGGGAGGGGCAGAGAGAGTGGGAGACACAGAATCGGAAACAGGCTCCAGGCTCTAAGCCGTCAGCCCAGAGCCCGACGTGGGGCTCGAACTCCCAGACCGCGAGATCGTGACCTGGCTGAAGTCGGACGCTCAACCGACTGCGCCACCCAGGCGCCCCTAGGAGACAGGAACTTCGATCCACCCCTCGTCCACATCCTGGGTGAATGAGGAAAACAGAAAATAGAGGAATATTTTTGTAATCACCTAGAAATGTCAAATAGGAGTCAGAAGGAAGCCGACAACTGATGTAAGATACAGGCTGAGTATATATGAACATTTAAACTCATCAACGTCCTTTTTTCTGGGGTGAAAGAGTGAATTTTGGACCGAGTGGCAATCATTTGGCCCCCACTTGCCTGTCTACTCGCATATCTCATTTTCTATACTTTTGCTCCAGCCCCCTCAGATTTTTTCATTATTCCATGAGCATGAGACTGTTCTTCCAGCTCAGTAGCGCGCATCACTACGTCTGCCTGGGATGTGCCCTCTCCCGACGCTCCGTCATCTGAGCACCCCCTCCTTATCCTTCCGGACACGGCCACTACGCCCCTAGGGGACTGAGTGCACTCTTCTATTATGGCGCTTACCAAGGAAGATTGCAATTTGTTTGTTGATAAATCTGTCTTTTTTTCCCACCCAACCACACTGGAATTGCCTATTTTCTATTGTTGTGCCCTTGCAAGAAGCACGAAGCAAATATGATGGAACAGAACACAAGAGAGCAGTGTGCTCAGCAGGTGCTCACGAGGGGATGTTGGACGAGAAGGTGACCGTGGTTCCCTATATGGTGGCTCTCCTGAGGCTCAGTTCTACACGGGCAGGGCTGAGAAAGCAGGGCGGGACTCAGGAATTCACTCCAAAGGAAGCCCAGAGAGATAAAGACAGAAAACATACCCGTAGCTGGAGTTCGTGGAGAGGAGAAGAGAATGAAATGGAACAGACAAAAATCCTTGGTGTAAAACAAGCATGAATACTTGCTTCAAATAATGAAAGAATTTCGTCTCTGTAATGAGAAAGCACGTCCTGTCCTTAGAACAAACTAAGAGAAGAAAAGTTACTGAATGTCAAGACCAAAGAATCGGATGGATTTCAACGCAGCCGAAGCAAGTCCACGGGAGACACTTGAGGCCAGCTGCATACCTCTGCCGGGCACTGCTCAGCGTCAGAGATCAGTCTGTTGACTGTGTTCTCAGGGAAGCAGGAACCCAAGCGGCTCTACGTGTAAAACCAGAACTTCGGGGCCAGGCTATGGTGACCACCTGTCTCTGTTTACCTGGGACCGAGGGGTTACCTGGGACACAGGCCCTTCAGTGCTGAGGCCCAACAAATAAGCGCTGTGTATTCAACACTCATGAACCTTTCGTGAAAAAGAAACAAAAACGATTTGGAGAGGAAAAGAAGGTCTGTTGACAAAGATCTAGCCAAGTAAGAGAAGAATCAAAATGAAGAGGTCAATAATATGGAAGGCTTAGTACAAGAGATGGAAAGAAGCACTGTATATATTTATGTGTAAAATTAAAATGAAACAGTGGTGGAGGTTATAATTCAGCAGGTGTCTTGGAAGGTGTATACGCCTTAATGATGTAAAACTCCTAATAATGCAAATAACAAATACTAGAGAGTGGAGAGAGGAAGGAATCAGATGGTCATGTACTGTGCTGACTTATCTTTTTTTTTTTTTTTTAATTTTTTTAGTGGTTATTTATTTTTGACACAGAGAGAGAGACAGAGCATGAGCGGGGGAGGGGCAGAGAGAGAGGGAGACACAGAATCTGAAACACGCTCCAGGCTCTGAGCTGTCAGCACAGAGCTCAATGCGGGGCTCGAACTCACAGACCGTGAGATCATGACCTGAGCCGAAGTCGGCCGCTTAACCAACTGAGCCACCCAGGTGCCCCTGACTTACCTTTCATAACAGGAAATCAATTCTGTCTAAAATTGAAAAAAGTAGAGAAAAAGAAAGAAAAAAAAAAACCCACACTGAATCCAGCTTCTTAATGGCTTTGCATCGTATTTTTACTGAGCCTCAAAAGGATTTTGGGGGAATGAACACACTTTATTGTAGAGAAGCATTTATTTGAAGTTGCACTTGGATTTTTTTTAAAGATTTTTTTCTTAAGTTTATTTATTTTGAAAGGGAGAGAGACAGCATGAGTGTGGGAGGAGGGCAGAACGAGAGAGGGAGAGAGAGAGAAGCCCAAGCAGCTCTGCACTGTCAGCACAGAGCCTGATGCGGGACTTGACCCCACGAACCCTGAGATCATGTCCTGAGCCGAAATTAAGAGTTGGATGCTCGACCAACTGAGCCACCGGGGGGCCCCTAAAGATTTTATTTTTAAGTGCTCTCTACATCCAGTGAGAGGGGCTCAAATTCACAACCCCAAGATCAAGAGTCACATGCTCTGCTGACTGAGCCAGCCAGGTGCCTCTGATTTCTTTTTTCTATTTATTTATTTATTTAAATTTTTAAAATTTATTTTTGAGACAGAGAGAGAGACAGAGCATGAGCAGGGGAGGGGCAGAGAGACGGGGAGACACAGAATCTGAAGCAGGCTCCAGGCTCCGAGCTGTCAGCACAGAGCCCAACGTGGGTCTCGAACTCACAGACTGTGAGATCATGACCTGAGCTGAAGTCGGATGCTCAACCGACTGAGCCACCCAGGCGCCGCCCTTTTTTTTTTTTTTTTTTTTTTTTACCTTTTAAAGAAGTATTAAATTATAAACTTACTCTTAAAAATCCCATCTGTCCTATTTGCTTTTCATCATTTATCTATATTTCTCTCTTTATTCACCTAGCTAGCCATATAGAAAGTTGGGAATAGTGGCAACTAAATATTGAGATTTCTTGCTCTTAGGTGTTTGGATCTAGGTTGGAAGAGAATAACAATTCTTCTCTGTGCCTTTTCAGTATTTTTAAATTTAAAAAGTATCGTGATGGCTAATTTTTGTGTCACCTTAGCTAGGCCATAGAACCCAGATACTTGGTCAAACATTATTCTAGATATTTCTGTGAAATTATTTTTTAGATGAGGTTGAATTTAAATCAGTAGATTTCAAGGAAAGCATATTATTAGCCTCTGTGATAGGATTGGGCCTCATCTAATCAGGTGAAGGCTTTATTATAAAAAGGCTGATCTCCCCAGAAAAAGAGGGGATTCTGCCAGCAGACTGTCTCTGGGTTTAAACTGCAACTTGCTGGCCTACCCTGTAGATTTTAAACTTGCCAGGCTCCCTAGTTGTCTGAGCCATTTCCTTAAAAATCTCTTTCTCTCCCATGCATATATGTACCTGCTATTGGTCTGTTGTCTGGGAAATCCTGACCAATACAAACACCTCACACACATGCACAATTTCAATACAAATAATCATATATCACGATTCCTGTTTATAAAAAGTTAAACCTTTCATATGAGAAGAGAGGTTCTGAGAAATGGAGGAATATTTCCCAGGGACTTCCATAGGCCCCTCCCGCAGCTGGTTATTGGTGGAGCGGAGACCAAAATCTGTGAATACTGACTCAAGATCTTCCCTTCCCTTCTACTGGGCTCTGATTATTCCTGTATAATTAGTTTCTTGTGGGAGGGTAGGGTGAGAGGCTTTTATTTTTTCATCCCATTCCCTTCTGTAGTGTTTACATTATGTTTTCTTTATCAATTGCATGAATTACTTTTTTTTTTAGAAATAATAATTCTAGAACATAGTTTAAATTAAAAAGGAAAGGATACTTAGTGCCATTGACTCGTACACTTAAACATGGTTTAAAAGGTAAATTTCAGGGGCGCCTGGGTGGCGCAGTCGGTTAAGCGTCCGACTTCAGCCAGGTCACAATCTCGCGGTCCGGGATGGAGGCCCGCGTGGGGTTCGGCGCTGACGGTGTGGGGCCCGCTTGGTTGGGATTCTTTCCCTCCTTCTCGAGCCCCTTCCCTGCCCGTGCTCATTCTCTCTTTCTCCCCCAATAAATAAAGCTTTAAAAAGAATTCAGGACAAAACAAAAACCTCCTGGGCCCGGGCTCTGTGTGTTAGAACCGGCACCTGCTGGCTTTCCCTGGCCACGTGCCTGCAGGAGTGAAGAGGGAAGGGGGGGTGAGGGCCACACTCTACAGCACTGGGATGCCAGGGCTTGCACTGCGGCCAGGCTGGAACCATCTAGAAAGCAGAGCTCTTCCCGTCCTGTTAGTCAGCTGCCTCATACTTCGAATGGCATT